ATACGTGCATGGGATGTTTCGAATAACTCCAAATCTCTCAGTGAACGGCCTCGGTATGTACGGCTTAAAAGAATTAAAAGTTGTCAGCAGAGGTAGAGCCAAACTGCTTTTCAGCTCCGCTGCCAATGCTAACAATTTTGTTATGAATAATGAATTTAATAAAAAGAATTTAAAAGCGTACATACCGAAATCCTTCAAGTAATCATAGAAATAGAGATTGGAGTTAATATTGATGCGATTTCCTTCTGCGTCCGCACACGTTTCGACAAAAACGACAAAATTGCAGTTGGAAAGGCAATCGGTCAAATTGATTTCGAAATTTGTGGCGGCTGTGGCACCCAAATCAGAGGGCTTGTCGATAGTCTGTTTACCAGCGCAATTAAAACGTTTGTGTTAGGTTCTCCGTTAGCAGATAAAAGAATATTATTCTCACCCTTTGTCGATTTCTTGGTGTGCCCAGTGGCGTTCATGTAAAAATCTTCAAAACAGTCTCTATCAGTAGTTATAAGATCAGACCCAATCTCCATAGGGAGACGGGCTGATGTTGTTTTGGTTGTTATCATGGGGAATACAAAAAAAAAGGGAAAGAAAAAATCACAACGAAAAAGCAAAAAATTTAATATATATATTCCTTCTTAATTTTTCTCTCACGATTCCCCTTCCTTCCCTCCTTTTTTTCCTTTAAAATTGTTTTCTTCGGTTATTTTATTACTTTATTAAACCTCCTTTCCTTTTTTCAAATATTTAAATTGTCTTTTTTTTCCACTAACACTGGTAAAACACAAGCGAATGATTCTTTTGTGTTCAATTTAAACCTGTTTACTTTTATAAATGCCATTCCAGGCAATCAATGCAAACTCTGAATATTTAATACTAACGCCCTGAGCTCTTTTGTTTCGCGTAATTTGGCAAGAGTATTTGACATCTATTGTGCTTACGTAATCCCAAAAAACGTGACATTCAGTTACGCGATTACTTTGCTGAGATAACTAATTGTTGTGACCATTTAAATTAAAAACATAATTTGAAAAAATGCTGCTAAAGTAGCCACAGTTACGGTGGAAGATCTAAAAGGTCACAAATGTGCACCAAGAAAGGCGGCAGGCAGTGCAAGAAGATAAAATCAGATATATATAGTGAAAACATAATTCATCCTCCTGCTCCTCCTCTTGTACAACACATTAAGGAAGTGCGCGGGTGCTACGTAAATGGGATAATGATTTGCACCGTCTTCCTTCCAAGGAATCGAAGTACATCTACGTAACTCCCCAGTGAATCTTTGCTTTATAAATTGTTATAATGTATTGTAAATATCTGTCAACATAGGTATATATACAAATAACTATATCTGTGTTCTTATGCATATGCATATCAAACCAATTTTTCTTTTTCAATATGTAAAGAATCGGATTTAAGCAATTTTCTATTGTTTCATTAAATAAATTTTAAAATAAAATCGTGAGTTGTTGTCAATTATACCGTAATCTTCACCTAAATTGCACAAGAGCTTTAAGGTGAACAATGATGGACAAAGTTAATCTTCAGACTATAAAAATACTTTTTTAAAAGAAATTGTTTGATTTCAATAGTTTGGCTTAAATTAAACATAGTTCCTTCGCTTCTTTTTCTCGTTCAAAAAGAAGAATTATTAAACCTTGCTTAAGTTAAGATTGTTTTTAGTTTAAGAGTTCTGCAAACACACACTTTAGTTTAACTAATTGCGGGAAAATAACCATCAGTTTGGCATACTGTGCTCGCTTATAAATTATGTAAATCTTTTTCCCATTTTATTACTTAAATTAGTTATTAAGTCTAAACAGTGCCTAAATAATTGTGAATAGAAATTCAATATTAAATTTTATATGTATTTGTTTGAATCAAATTGATAGATAATATTGTATTTTTTTTTATGGTCAAGACTAAGTGCTGTTGTGTGTAGTCTCCTTTGTGATCTGTTTTTTGGATCAATTTTGGTTTGTTTTCCAAATTTTTCAGGTTGGTGCTATTTATCGTCATCAAAGTCTGTTTAATCTATAAACCCTTAAAAAAAAACTTTGAGTGAAATTGAAGGTTCCAAATTCTTCTGTTTTGTACCGTTTCTTTTGATTATTATCTTATTTCTTGTTTTCTTCTTGGCCTGATTTGTTGTTTTTTTTTCAGAATCTCCGTTGTTAATTTTCTTTTTATTTACCATTTTCCATACTTAACGTTGCTCTCTTAATGGAAATGCAAATATTGTGTGCTATTGTAATTAACCATAATAAACTCTTCTTTCTTTTTTTCACTTCAATAAATTTTTCTTCAGAATTTTCCTTAATCGGCCGAGCTGCAGACGCGGTCTTGGATCAAATGAAGGAACTAGGTTGGTCTTGTTCTGACTGCAGGAAGCGCGCCATTGATTTTTATAAGTTTCTTTGTGAGTAAAAAAAAGGATGTTTGGGAAATCGGAAAAGAATTGACGGCGTTGTTGAGAAAATAAAACAAAATTAAAACCATATTGGATGAGTGTCGCTACTTAAAGCATCCAGCTTCTCTTCAAACTTATATAAGAGCAACTTATAGCGTAACTTATGGTCCTTTACTCCCGGTATCGCGTGAAGCTTGCCGGCCATGTTGCTCGGCGCACTCCCTCAACGTCAACGATAGAGCCTACAGACCGGTAATCGACCAATTCGACAAAAACATCGAACGCTTAACATTTGTATTCACAAAAGATTAAAATTTCTTCCATCGAAATATTAATTGATAATACTAACAAAGCCTCCTCGTGTTAGGTACGCTGATGCGACAGTAGTCTCTCAGTGTGTAAATCTCAAATATAAACAATAGTAAATTCTCCTACATCTATTACGAGTAACGTGCCCTTGATAGCAATGCTCTCCCGAAAAACAATATTGGCTCAGGTGAAAACACAAAAACTTGCTTCTTGTCAATCTAAATCGTATTAATATTTTCAAATTGGCTCCATCTCAATTTAGAGCGATCTGATCCTTTAAAATTTTAGTTCCGACGCAAAGAAAGGAATTTATGTTAAACAGATCGTTGCGGGCACTTGAGTGCCTAATAAAAGAAATTAATCCTCGTGATAAACCCCAGTGAGTATACGATTTTACTGTTTGGGTTTTAATGAAACACTCCTAACTGTAAGGGCACTCTATTTTATCTTTGCTTTTCCAATTTTTCGGAAATAGTTATAAATCGTCCATCTCTTAATTTACATGAGTGTCCCCATCATCCAGCAAATTGTGTATCCTTTCATTACAAGCACGAAAAACTGTAACACGTCAAATCGCACTTGCTCGAATGTACAATATGATTTTGACAAAACCAAAATTTTAATGCTTAAACCTCATCTTTCACACATTATGCTCAATTTTTCTGCTAAGAATATGGAAATTCTAATTGAATTCTAATGGAAATCCCTTTTATAACGTATTCTGCTTTTATAATGTATTTTGCATCTGTTCTAATTAGGCAAGTCCTCCTTCGAAGCGATCGCCTGCCGTGGTTCAACAAAATAATTGAATGCTATGCAAATAGGAATAAGAACCTTTTAAAAAAATGTATGAAAAGTAATTCTGCGTGCAACTATGGCGTCTACTGTACTGCAAGGCATAGATGCATTTGCCTCAATCATCAAAATTATTGCAAATACGTTCAGGTGATAAAGTCCTCACTTATTATTAATCTTATCGTCGAATCTGTTTGCTCAATAATTGCAATTTAAGTTTTCTTCTGCTGGTTCCGATTACTTATAGCAAGTCATAAACTCGATTTCAATTCTAAGTTTGTTCATGTCAGAAAATAACGTATGACACGGTTTAAGGTCACTAAAATAAAATCGTGAATATGGGCCTTACGGCCCATCATGACTACTCATGCTCTGGTGGGTTGTACGAAGTTATCTCAAAGATTTTGAACCTTTTTTGAAAATAAACGCATTGCGGGAGTAGTTTCCTCAGTAGTTGACTCTCTTTCTCTATTTCAGCCGGAATTATCAAAAAGAAGAGCAACTATTACGAACATATTAAACTTTTGTTCCTATGGTTTAAGACGTGGCTTTTGCATGGATGTGGTACTCACTGCTTTTGGTATAGCATTTAATCTAGTTAGTTTTAAATTGTTCAAATTCAAATCCCAGGCCTTCCGCTTCCCTTTATAGTTATAGTTTATAGTTAGTGACGGTGTTTTTCGAGATTGTTTTTAGCTTCTTCTGTTTTGTAAGTATATGTGTGAACAGACTATACTTATTTTTTATCTCATATTTTTACTCAATCCAGGAATACTTGTGTCAAATTTAAGCTTGGTATCGTCTTTCTTACAACTGTGAGGATTCGTAAATGTTGCCCGTCAATTGGATAAGCTTTTGTCGAAATAGGCCGACAATATCTAGAAATAGCATGATGGGCGTGTCTTCGCAAAGAAGGCTAAATTATCACGGGTATGGTATCAAATGGCAACAAATTGAACACGAACATGGTAGAGGGATCGCTATAAATACTTTATTTTACCTCTTTTTGGCCCTGCTTAAGTCAAAAGTTACCTTCAAAATATACACCAAATTTCAATAATCGAAAGGTTTAAATATTGAAAATCAAGGTGAATCAACGAATAATCCTCGTCGAGCTAATTTTCGATGAAAATAACGTTCTTGCTTTTCTGACGTCGGTTCATAAGTGTTGTGATAAATCCATTACTAGAAAATTATAATTGAGTGACAAAAAATAAATCTGAGAAGTAGCCAATAAAAAACTAATAAAATACGGTAATTTGATTAAAATTCTTACAACCTTCCTAAAATGTTAGCTGGAGAAAGAATCATCTGTACAATATATTGCCACAGTTCAAAGTTTGAAAAAAATTTTCTATGTTTGTATTATTAAAATTTGAGTTGATAAAATTAGGATCTCAGCACCGTAATACGGTACCGTAATACGGAAAAGCGCACATTACAGTGCGTTGAATCTGAAATATTTCATTTTCAATAAAACTACATGATTTAAGTTTTCTTCTAGGTTTATTACATTGACAAAAAGAGGAAAAACCTTTGCCAAATCACATACATCAGCCCTTTGTTTGATCGCGTATCTTAGTTTAGCATTAAGCATTATGCATACAAAAATCGATAACAGGCTTTCGACATATTAGTTATGTCCAAAACTTGTGTTCAAACCGTTACATTCTAAATAAGCGATATGGTTCATTACGTAAAGGCTGATACATATGATAAATGGGGGAAGTTTAAAATCTAAGACACATACTTACTTGACGAAAGCATTAATATCCTGTAGACCTAGTTCACAACCTGGCCAACGGCAAACGCCATGAGCAAATAAAGGATGATAATATTTTTTCGTTAAAAATTCATGGCTATTTACTGGAGCATTATGAATAATGGAAAACTTATCCTCGTTCAAGCCTGCGCTGAAATTAGAGTTGCCATTACTATTACCAGCACTAATTTTTTGACTTGCTTGGCCGCAATAGCTGCCACCTAAGACATCTAAAAGGCTGCTAAAGTTTGTATTGATATATGGTGATGTTTCAATGCCTAATCTATTTGTTGTATTTAACCTTTCATGTTCCTGGTGCGCATTCTGACGTTGCTCTGGACTATTACCCGAGGTATATGTTTGCGTAAAATCTGGAGGTAGATTCCGTTGATGTTGAATGTATCGGCTAAATGGTGGGAATTGAAATTGGGCAGGTGAAATTTGCATTAGTGTAGGTTTTGAAGAAATTATATTTCCTGGTACTGCATCTATTGGTTTAGTTGCGTTACGATTTTTTGTTTGATGAATTATATCATAAGTTTCAGTTTCATCCTTATCAGATACGCCAACACTGTGCGATTTCTTGGAGTATCTCGGTTGGTGTCCGAATAACTGGCTTTTTTTATTATTGCAGTCATCGTTAATGTTTTCATCATTATAAAGTATACCAAATTTATCGCGATATTTTTCATACTTTTCATGGTTCATAAATAAGTTCATTTGTTTTATATTATTACAGCTTTCTTCATCGTCATCATTTTCATCAGCAACACCTTCAATCTCATCACACTCATTCTCGTTACTTTTGTTACTAATCGGTTGTAAGCGTGTATCTGAAAATAACACACTCAAATTAAGAAAGCGTTAATTAAGGACGGTTTAAAATTATAAAAAAGTAAAAATGGAAAAAAATGGTATCTTGGCAAAAGTTAAAGAAAACATTTAAATAAAATAATTTATATTATACAATGAGATAATTGAATTTTTGGTCAACTTTATTTATTTTACAAACCGAAACTTTCAATTTTATAAATTTTGTATTATAAAATATATTAAATTGTAGTTACGTTAAGGTTAGGGTGGACGTATATTTTTATTCTCACTTCATTTTTTTTTTTTTTTCATAACGTATGTAACACCCAAAAGAAAGCTTCAGAAACGCTATACAGTGTATATATTCTTGATCAGGGTGAAATTCTGTTCTGGTGTTTGTTGTTCAACCAGGAGAGGTTGAGAAAATAATGATATTAATTTCAAATTTGTTAGAAACGTTAGAAGTTGTTGCACGCAGGTTGATATTGAAAATGGGCCAAATTGATTCAGAGCAAAAGCCCGTAGTGGAACATAAACTGTGTGCAGTTCTATTGTTCTTAACAAAAATTTCAGAACTCAGTCTACTTTTTACGTGCAGAAATGAAAAAAAATCGATCATGGCTACACAAAATTACTTTTGAGCAAATTTTATTTTTTCCAATTTTTCATGCTGGTTTATCATAAGGGACACAGAATAAAATTTAAAATTATTTTGTATTTTCTTCAAATGAAGACATATTATCTGCATAAAACTGGGTTAATTCTAAAATGAATACAGTGATACCGCGATTACAATTTTCCAGTAATATGGGTATCAAATAAAAAGACTTGGGGAATTGAATGCGAGAAGTACAGTGGTAGGTGTGCGAGACTCGGCCCTCTCCGAATATAACTTTCTTACTTGTTATATTGTACAGTAAATCTACATAAATGAAGAGAATAAATTAAATTTTTGAAGGAAAGGAGGACCTAGTTTTGGTTCGCTAAATGTCGGTGTTATTGGAAGTGCAGACCTGTCCGCTCATTTTTGGCTAGATTTCATTAAGGATTGATCGCTTACAATAAAAAAGGAATGTAAGAAAAGAAAGAAATTAATGAGTAATTCAAAGACACCAACGCAGGAATGTAACAATTAAATATAATATAAGTAAGTAAACATCTATGTTCAATATGGCTGCGTTGAAAGGCTCACTTTGCATGAAAAATAATTCTTTTGAAATTTGTCAATTAAAAGTGGGGTTTTTTGTTTGTAAATTTTAAACTGTTGAAAAGAAAATTTCTTTAATTTTGCGGAACCGCGTGTCAACCAAACCATGCTGCAGCGATCTGAACAAGTGTTAATCAGACGGCACCATGCTTGTTGAGTACGCTGAGTGTTGCAGATTTTCCCATTCGAACTGCAACAGTGTATTCTGGACATCTATTGCACCAAGTGGCCAAAATGGCATTTTCAGTCAATTCGAGCCTTCATTACAAAAGTAATGAAGGTCAAAAATGAAATTTCGAGCGTTCTATGATTAGCGCCTTTATACACTGAATATCTCAAGTATACTAAATTAAAAGCTGTTAGCTTAGGTAGAGAAAGGTAAAAATCATCGAATTTAATCGTTATGTACAGTTCTATTTCCCATTTCTTTATAATGTTTACCTGTCCTTTCTCAAAATTAATGCAAACACCTATTAGAAATATTTACTACTGCAAAGCAAAATGATCGCTGCTGAGAATACATATCGTCAATTCACCAACTGTTAAACGAAAGATAAATGTCGCTTGTATATGAATATATGTAGAAAGTTTACTTGAGGTTGTAGGAAAATGATAATTATTTGTGCTGTACTGCAGAGGCAAAACTTAGTCTATTGTCGTTTTAAGTTGGTTGTCATTCGTTTTGGTTGTACATTTCTACGCTTATAATGGCGGCATTATGTGAAAACATCGTAAGTTACTCGTGTCACTGGCGGTGGTGTACGCAAGGTATGCTGAATTTGTATATATTGTTTGTTGGCAGCAGCTGCATTTTGGTATATTCGCGACTAACAACGTTGTTTATCACGTTAATGCACAATGAGGTGCCAAAATATGACCAACGGTGGTAAGCATCATTGAATGAGTGTTGAGAAAAAGATGCTGTATGTCTTGTAGAGATTTTAATGCAAGTAACTTAATACTTATTTGTTTTATTTGCCTTCATAAGTTTAAAAATACCTTGTTATAATATTTTTAATTTATCAGACGTAATTTTAATGGGTTTGCTAAGATAGGGGAGAGGAAGTTAGGAAACCTAAGTGGACGCTCGATGAGAGAACGAATTATGACTTAACGTATGGATATTCATTCTTAGTATTGAACGGACATATTACAGGGGACAACTAGTAAATGGACATAGGATAAGTGATGATTACAGTGTATTATAAATGGAATCTTTCGCTAGTGGGTAAGTAAAAGAGTTACCTTCTTCGTCTTTATTGATCGTAGCTACACTGTTATCATAGCTGCACTCTTGTTTCGGACGTACGAGACTTGTTCTTTGTAGTTTACAAACTGTTCCTGTGGCATCTAATGATAACGTTGGCGTAGTTTTCAATTGCTCGTTGATGTGTGATTGATGTAATTCACATTGAATTTGTTGCTGGTCGCCTTCTCTTCCATTACGATCAACCTCTTCTTTTCCATCTTCTTCTAACTCACTAAATCCTTCTTCGTCAGCCAATGTTTCACCCTCAAAAGAAACACTTCTGCACGCTGGACAATCAGTGTTACAATTATGATTGCAAATGTTTTGCTTAGCACCGCAAATTGTTTCCGAGAGCATTTCCGTCATCTTGGCTTTATTTAAATCAACTTTTCTTTTACTCTTTATAAGCAGCTTTTGTTGTCTTGGCGTTGCTGTGCTTTCTGCTTTGTGTTTGTCGTTCTTGTTCCCGTACTGCAAGTCACGGTTTCTGTTGTATGTATTAGTAGGGAATCACTGCTTCGCTTATCGCAGTTGCCGTTTTATATTTTTGTTCGCTGAAGTATTCCTCGAAAGATAATAAAATGATATATATATTGATATTGACTATCTTGTTTATTTGTATTATAATTATCTGGCGATAAACTCGAAACTAAAATGGCATTCAATTGTAAATGCGTTAATAGACCTAGTAAGAGTAATGTATACAAATAAATGAATTAACATTTAATTTATTTCAATTTTCTACGTCAAATCTCTTGTCCGTCTCAACTTTCTCGAAGCTTTACCTCGTTAGATGAATGAGGGACTGCAATAGACCCAAAAACTGAATTTTATTCGATTAAAAAATTTGTAAAATAAAAAAAGAGATATATAAACACAATGGAAGGTTGTACGCGTAACTCTAGTTTTCTTCACAATTACTTACCATGGCGTATTAAAGGATGACTATGCTTCAATTTCCGTGTAAGCTCGTGTTGTTTTCATGCATTCTTTATCTTCCTTGCATAAATTATCACAATACCAGAAAGCAAAAAAAGTAAACTTTCTTTCTGCTCGTAACAAGTAGGCAAAAGTTTGCGGGTGCTCCCTACAGTTTTATATGAACAAGGGAAGGACAAAATTTTGTAATAATTGGTTGTGTTTACAGCCTTTTATAAACGGTCTACCTAAAGGTAAAAAGTAAGCTTTATAAGTCCAGCTTAAGGCGAGTTGATGAAATTAAGCACAATAATGTTTTTAAAGTTCCTTTCAAGTTAAGAACTGTTTAAAAATTTTAATTTTTGTTTAGTGTACCGGTGCAGAATATATTAAATTTGTAGATATACAATACACAGAAAGACTTAAGATACAATTTTCTTTTATGCCGATCATTTCAGAATCATTTTCGGAGACATTTTCTGAAATTTCACCAAAATATTAAAGAGATTGCGAGCTATAGGCTAAACACAATAATACAAGGACAAACAGCAGGCAGATGGATAGACGGACGAACTTGGCTTAATTTAGAAAGCGGTTCTGAATTGAACGTTGGGACTATGCCTCCTGAGCGTTGTATACATCCGCACAAACTTAATATACTCTTGTACCAACAGCAGGTATAGCAGTTGTCTGGCATGAAAAATTTCCGTTTTCAAAAGCAATGTTCTTCGTCCTCGAAGATAAACTGAGTCGCAATGCAACGAATGCAAGCATTCTCGTATTGTTCTCATTAATAATGTGTTTTCACCCGTTAGTTTATGCGGTCTTGCTACCGAGTCCAACCGCTCATCAAATAAGCAGCTGCTTGCATTTGTGAACTTTTTGCACAATTTCATCTTCACTTAATGAATTTCTTGCTAAAGTAAATTGCCTTGTGGTTCTGTTTCATATTGCACTTTCTCAACGTTTGTAGATTTGTGGCGGATTAGCTAACCTTATCGTTTGTATTAACGCCACTTGTATTATTTACATACAACTGAGAAGAAAACCGCACATGCTCTTTGTGGGAAAATTAAAATGTAATTTTTAGACGTCTTTTATTCATATTTGATAAATTTTGTTTTGATACTCTTTAGTGGAGGTTAAAAAACCACAAAATGTGATCTTACAGCAGGACTTCGGTAGTCACAAAAAATCACCATAATTAGAAAGTGTGGAATTATAACAAATTCATTATAATTTCGTCTAGTACAGCACCTCCTTGTAGAACATCTCCATAGCAGTTATTTCTAAGTATATATTTTATAAAAATTAATTAAACAATATCAGCAACGGTCCTGTTTTTTTTTCTTTTTTCTATGAAAGCATTCAATTACACCAAATCAGCGGCAATTTTCAGGGTGTATTTTCTAGCAAAGCAAATTTATTTTCATAAAAATGCCTTTTAATATTACTTTGCGCTCGGAGTTTCAACTCTCATGTCCATCTTTTATTACAACGAAATATTATGCACATTCTGTTGACAATGTTATTAGAATGTCATTGCAACTGGTTGTCCCATTTTTTTTGACGTAATGTAGTAGTGAAAATTGTGACAGAAAGCTAGTGTATACAGATATTTCTCTTTATTTACCGAACTTAATAGTGTATTAAGAATCAATCCTGCGCACTACTAAGTTTTTTTCTCAAATAATCCGACATCTTTCACTGCAAAAAAAAAAAGATTTCAGCTTTATACAGATACTTTTTGTTGCTGTGCGTCGGGTGAAGACAATGGGTGCAAACTTTTGCTTCAAGTTTTCATGTTTACGTACGTTGGTTTGTTTTATTTAATTCGAAATCCATATTAAACACTTAATAGTGCTGAATGGTTTATTAAGCAGTAATCAAAGGCTTAAAGAAAATCTTAAATACGGCATTTTTAAGTTGTGTGTCAGCTTTCTTATGTTCTCGAACCGAGTTTTACAATAGTCCCGATAAATAAATGAGCGCAGCCTTAGTTCGGTATCTGCTAATAATGACAAACGATGCTGAAACGAATTTAAAGTTTCTATTTTTTCCGAAGCAATGTCGGTTTCAAATCTATGCAGTTATGCATAATAAAAATTGTACATATTATACCAGATAGACATTTCCCACAACATATTTTTCACTTTTGTTAGAAATAAATTTTTCTCTTTTTGAATAAAATTTTATAATGCTCTGCGTGCATTTTCCTAAGAACTGGTTTTTGTTATGCTTTTATTTTGGTGCTTGCCCCATGTCTCATTTGCGAGTTCTTGCAACCAAATATCCCAGAGCTCTTCCTATTCATGCAGTTGTCTCTAATTGTATTGTGTCTCTATTGTAATTGTGTATACGGACTTATCCCTTCTACAAAGCTATTCGGTGCAGATCTAAACTCCCTATATTCTTCCGTTACTTCCTTATATTATCTTTTAATGTGTTTATGGGATTTAATTTCGCAAATCATGAAATTTGTATCATAATACTGTAAATGAAAATGTATTGCGTCGAATGTTGCGGCATAACTGCAATACGTAATATATGGCAGAAAGATTCTCATGCCACAATATATTAACAATTGTTATGAAAATATATTAAGGCTTTTTATTAGAAAACAAAGCCCAAAAGTAACATATTTAAAAAAAATAACAAGCAAAAACTTTATAATCTGATTAGACCGATTAAAAAACATTCTACATTAATCCACCTAATACAATTCCTCAGTTGGTTTACAACATACAGAAGATAAAATTTATTACAGTGCAAATATTTACTTTTTATGAAAATATTTGAATGAAACGGGATACAAAACGTGAATCCACGCGACTCAAGTTTAGTACCTTTAATTTTCTTCTCGAACAACTTATTATTCGTCGCCTATTTTTTTCGGTAGATAAAAGAGGGTTCATCGCAATTTTCTTATGTCCAAGAGCCTATATTCCTTTAAAAGTTACATCCCTATATTATATATAGATCAAGTTTCATTCTAAAACACTATGAGAGCTTATTCTTTTTAAGTCGTCTTACACGACAGGGGGTTCAACAACATTGTACATTCATTATTGCCAACTTATTACATTTCAGCGACCTTTGCTGAGCGATATTAAAAATGGCAAATTGTGTTCATATAGCGCCTTTTCCAAATATATGGGGAGTGACCAATGAAATGAGTCCATGTAACTCATTCTTAAAAGCCTTCATTTTTGGTCCCAAAAAATATTAATGCACCAAATTTTAGCAACCTGTCTCGGAAATTGCGAACGTTAGGTTGAACATAAGAAATGAAAAGACGAAGATCCTTCAATCGACATAGAAAATGATGTTGAGTAGATCTCTCATGTCTGTCCTAGTGCAGCGTACTCAAACTTAACACAAGTAATGTGGCTTATAACACCGTATATTGAAATATTCTTGATTTTTTCCTATAGGTTAAGATAAGCTTGCGTTTACTTTTTAGAGAAGATTGACTTTAGCAAATTGACATATAAGGACTTACATATAAATCGATTACGCTGTTTGCAGTGATCAAGAATATTTGTACTTCATGGGTTCTCTAACACGTACTTTAATACGAAATATATTTGATACCCTAAGCGATTGTGCAGATGTAAAATTACACGTTTGTGTTTAGTACAAATAAGATGGCAAACGTAGTTCTAGGCAGCGAAAGTAAAAATAGCTAAGTTACAAGAGTGTCAACATACATTAGTAAACGTGTACAATCCAATGTGCTCGAAATATTAAAACGAAGAAATTATTTACATAAATAATCAAAACCAAATATTGGGCGGATTTTTTACTTTTTGGGTTCATAAACTGGGCTATGGCGATTGGAAAAAGCAATTAAGATAAATTGTTGTCTAAGTAGTCAAAGTTTTTGGCACTCTAGCTCTAAATTAATATAATGTCTGAACTAAGTTATAGAGCAAATGTCGGCAATAATACTTACTTTTCAAAATTATTAATTTCAGTGCACAGGGATTAAAATGAAATGCTCTTATTTTATACATTTCTTAGCGTCTGATAGCTTCAAAAAAATCAGTTCTTCGATAGATTTCGGAAATTCGGCCAAACAATTACCGTGTTGGGCTTTGAATCTACAAAACACCGCTAATGTTTTTAAATTTTAATCACTTGTAAACGAACCAACACCCATTGCTTGATTTTTTAATTTTGCTCATTTTTATTTGTCTTTTTTCCGTTCATAAGCACTATTAATATGAATTAAAAGGTGTAAGCTTGGAGAAGTGCGTGATTACTTTCACCGAGCTATCGCGTTTCCCTGATGAGACTATCATATTTACTACTACTGTTGTCTCTATTATTAAAAAACAAGCTATTTGCGAGTTAGCTTTGTCAGCTTTACAGCAGCAGGAGAACGTAATATATACCACACCATTAAAAACTCGAACATCATTCCATTTATTAGTAGCAGCAACAACAATGGTCATAACTACAGTACCGCCTTCAATAGTTTTGAGTCCAATAATAAACGCTACCAGCAGCTATACAACACAATACAGTACACATGCATAGCATATTCACAGTGATACATTTATTTTATTCTAGCACTGAAGTATGGTGTATACAGACTAACACAACGTGCGCAGCCTTCGGTAAGTATATTTAACTCGTTCCAAAACACTTATGTTCCCTGCTCACTTATGAATAGTAATGAAAATCAAAGCAAGGCAAAATGCCGCGAATTTTTTCTGCATAACAGTCATAAGAGGCGCTACAAGTATTACAGATACACTGAATATACAAAAACAACAGCATACATCAAATGACAACCGAAACTCATTTCAAAAAGAAAGTACTGACGAAATATATTTATTGGCGTAGAACCCAGAGAAGAACAATGGTTATTTATATGTTGTATATTATACCGTATATTATACATTATATATTATATATTATACCATACGATATACATTACATATTATATATATTATGCTACGAGTTTTGTATTATTCACTGTAATAAGACGTTATTGTTATTTTATGTTAATCTTTACTTTTTCCAAAATTTTTTGATTAGTGCCATGAAATATGAAAGTGCAACTAGCTTGGTCGTTATAAGCAAACATTCTAAGTTTGTTTGGGTTTCTACTAAACACTAATTTATTACAATAATCCCAGACGAACAAAATTTACTATCTTCGAAACGTGTACTATATGTACTATATAAAAAAAGGGTAAATTTATCAGCAAAAATTTAGATTGAAAGTCAACGTTAAATATAAAGCTAGATTTTTAACACAAAGTAATCAGCTAGAACTAAAAAAAAAAATTTTAAGGATTAAGGATTTTTTAAGGACTAAGGATTTAAAAAAAAATTTTTTTTAAGGATTAAGGA